CCGGTTGGAAACCGGTTGAATGAAATAATTTGGTTCGGGTAACCGATTAAGGAGATTTTTTTCGGTTCAAATCACTAATATAAATATACTTAGTGTTAGATATCTTCAATCAATATATTTTTATTTAAATTTTTCACAAAAACTTTAAATCTAAGTTACCTTAATATTTATCTAAAACATTCTTTTGTGAAATATATAATGTTAGTTGATATACATACGTCATCAGAAGTAATAAAGAAAGAAATCATCGATTTCTTTTTTTTTTTATCTGCATAATTTTGCAAACAGCAATAATCGATTAATCAATATTAATCGATTAATCGATTAGTTATCTATAATCGATTTTTAGTTGATTTTTTAAAAATTTTTTGCCCAACTAATCGATTACATTTTTTTGGTCCGATTTGTAATATATTTAAATGCAATTATTCGAGCTTCTTTGAAGTCAAATGCTTATTTCTTATTGGACTTGTTAACTGGTTGGTCTGGTTGGTTTGGTTTGGTTTTAAGTTAGTATCAACCCAAACCAGCTTGGAGTAATCCAATTTTGTCTCTAGTTAGCAGACAGAGTTGAATATTCTATTCAATATATTTTATTGGTTTCAAATCGAAGCGCTTCAGAGTATGATACTTCAATTAACAACTATTACAATCGGATTGGGTAGAAATCATACTTTTACGTGAATGTTCGACTCGTGATTAAAAATTAACCTGTTAACTAAAAATAAATTTTGACATTATTCATATATTGATGATTTAAAATGATTCTTTAATAATTTTATATAATAAGTTGTTACGAAATATTACAAGAAATAAATCATACATTAGTAATAGATTACAAATACTTAAAGAATGTAAATAAAAAAAAAGGGCAATATTAACTATTAAACTTGCCAATGATATAGACTAGTTATGGCCGTGATGCAAAATATATGAAAAAGGATAAGATAAATATAAAAATTCCTACGACAACACATGCATCAAAAATAATTTTCCATTTATCATTTGGTATTTCAGAATAAAGCTCATAACCACGCTCATATCCTAGTCTTGCCAACTCCCAACTTCTTCTGATAATATAAGTAACGATTCGAATGAATTGTAGATAATAGTTATCCAATAAGAAGACCTCATATTCTTCAACATCAAACGCTTCTGTATCGGTAATTTTACGTTGATAATTTTTTTGCCTGCTAAACCAGTTAATTTGTGATTGTTGTCGAATCGACGCAGATGAAGACATTGAAGAATAAGTCGTCGAAACAGTGATTGGTGCATCAGCAGAATCAGAAGAAGCTTTCATGCACAAATCAGTTTCACCAAAACAAGGACCTTTCATTCCATCCCAAATGATTGCTTGATCCTTTGCAATTCTGCTTAACACAGGATTTGCACGATTAGTCAATGAGAAAATGAAACTGTCCAAGGTTTTACGACTTTCACCATTGTATGGTACTTCACAAAGAGCTTTTCTCAACCTTCTTTTAGAATTTCGGTGTGGATCCACATTAATGTATTCGTAATGGACCCCTCGCCAATCTAAAGGATTATATCCACCGATTAATTC